CCATGTGATCTTTCCAGGAAAAGTTCTCCAAACAGTCGATAGTAATCGTAGAACACGAGGTCATAAGCCGTAACTGAAGTGAAGCTTGTCTCGGATGGAAAGAGTAGGGCTTCCTGTGAAATTCCACTGGGCAGTAAAATTACCGCGACGATAACGATGAATATTAAGGCTACTTTGATCATGGCATAAAGAGTCATCAGAGCCGGACCAAGTCTCCGACTAACGCGCATAAAGAGGAATAGCCGGCAGTACAGGGTGAGCACTAAAATGAAGAATAAAACCTGGCCTGACTCTATAACGAAAAACAGCGGCCTCGAAATAAATGTCAGCAGGTCACTTTTGGAAGGCAAATTTTAAAGCATGATAGTGACTTCCGCTAACCATGTACCAAAGGACTTTTTACTTCCTTTGGCCCAAAAGACGACATCCTTTATGCTAAAAATCTATCGGTCCTAATGTAACGCCGATGGTCAACACACAGTGAAATCCTCCTCAGTACTTTCACTTATTATAAGTAGTATTCTCCCACTACTGGTAGCAAGTTGAAAAATATTTCATTTTAAAGTTTGTTTTTCTGTCAATTAAACACATGCTTGGCCGTTTGCTTAATAAATAAGACATAGGTTTCGTATTACTTTAACTTTTTATTAAAGAATATCAGGTCGTTATAACGTGATGAGAAATGTCTGTATGCCTGAACGGTTGCTGATTATTATTTGGTCCTTGGAATTTTTACTTAAAAACGATTTTCACAAAACCTACTTCCGTTCTTTGTCGTGCGATATTATTCTCTAAACGTTCATATGGAATGAGTGAGTCTGGGAAGCACTCATATGTAACGATATGGCACTTTGACAGGTTTGCAGTTGGTGAAGGATATTGAAATTTCGGGTTTCATGAAAGACAAGTAAGACCTGCAGAAAGTCATAATAAATAAGCCCACTTACACAGAACGGCTGCGAAAGACTTCATTAAAAAGAAGTTTTCTTTTAGGAAAAGTCTCAAAAGTAGGCATATAATTAGTTGCAGTGCTATTGCGGTTTCACACCAAATGAAACTGAGGGAGAGAAAGAACTGGAGGTGGTGCCGTCCGCATTTTCTGGCCATAACGACAAACTAAAATAACAGAAAAACGAAATAGCATAGTGTAGAGTCAAATATGCCCGTTTCAAGTTTTTGTTGTCAGAAAGAAGAACATACGTTAGGTGGGGCAGCAACAGCATTATTCTGAGCTTTCAGGTTCGTCTATGCACACATTTTGACGAACCGTGAAGCTGCAATTACAACCACACAAGAACTACTGACAGTTTCATAGTTTGAAAATGAGGGACGCGGAAGGATAAGTAGGTGGGCGGTTGCGTGTATGCCCTCACGGTGGGATGACCATATGTAACCATGGCTGGGAATTGGACTGCGTCATTTGATTACATCGTTAGGTCATTGTAAGATTAACGTCTTGAATGTGGCTTAACCAAGGATAAAACCTTGAAGATCTCGGTGGGATCCAATTTCACCACGGCATGTGTAAGGCTTGGTTACAGCCAGCAGTAACAACCGGAGTTTCGACCGCTCCTCTGAGAAACGCGAACTCAAGCCACGTACATCCAATTATACGAAACTTATGAAATCCACCAAATCAGATAGATTAGGTTAATTACCTAGGCCGGCTTCCTTAAGCGATTAATTTCGAGTGCACTAGTTGAGTAATATGTTCACTGAATTAATAGTCGTGACTAAATTAATAGCTCGCGGTCGGAGTCTCGTAACTCAAATGGTTGGTGCGTCGAATGTACTGAAGCATCCACTTGTTGTCATTGGTTTGAATCCTAACACGGCCGCCAAGACTTTCATAGTAGTTCAGATAGACTGATTAGTTTGTTATGTTCCGTTAAAGCTCAATCCATCAATCTCTTGCTCACTCAGCTATTAATAATCAAATATTCCAGAATCAGGATCTATTTTGTAGATAGCAGCAAACATGGAATCTTTCAGAAGTAACACTTATAACTATGTGGTAAAAGACATAAAACTGTAGTCAGATATACATTGGCTATGTGGAGGGCATTAATCAATCTAAGGGCATGCAGTATGACATAAAACACATCGCTTTAAGTCTCTGTGGTTACTTGATTGATTATTTTATACGTAAGAAAATGAAAAAAAATAAAGTGAAGGTCCAGATTAACCGAAAGTCATACAGGAAAGCCAGAGTCCAGAACTTGGATAAACAGCATAATTGCCAGCAGGAGTTCTGAAACAGTATATCTGTCCTCCGGCATCTCGCTTAAGACAGTGTTGGTCGCGAAGAAGAGGAATAACACATACATCATCTAAATTTTAAAAAGAAAATAATGTCATGTTTATTTTAGTGTTCGAAGTGATTAGTATAAAGAGGTATCGACCCTATGAACGATATGACTAATGTTTGCGAAACCAATGCAGGCGAGCTAATACACTTGTAAGGAATTTGGTAACAGACAGTTTTTAGGCTCATTACCCCTACTTTGCTGACCTGCCTACTTAGTTCGTTGCAGTAGGCACGTTCTTCTCACTACAAAGGTGCGACACAGCCCATCTACATTGTGATTCACACACGGCAGTCTTTAGCATCCTGTCATTACATTTAGTTTTATCAGTTTTAGTTTAGTCTTGATTTTAGTTTGTTTACTTAGTTTGCATAGCTTAGTTATTTTAATTTAATTTAGTTTTAGTTTACTTTAGAGTTTGGTTGAGTTCTAATTTTGTATATTTTAGGTTCAGCGTTACTTTGTAGTTTATTATTTAGCTTTATAAGCTTTAATACATTTTTTGTGTGGTTTAATTTATCTTGCTTTAATTAGTTTCGTTTTATTTTTCTTTAGTTATGAGTTTAGCTTTTAGTTCATTTTTAAGGTTTTTAGTACTTAATTTAGTTTTATTTTAGTTAAGTTCGAAGGGTAGTTCCGCAATTGTGCAGTTCTTGTTTCTTATTGGTCTTAATTTTCATTTTAATTGTCGCTTTTTTGTTGTAAAACATTAACTTATCTAAGTAATGGTTCCTTTATAAGCTCTACTATTTAAATTATTTTTTTCTCATCACTGATATGTACCACTCATTTAACCACCAACACCACTTGTCACCTATCACAGAATGCTGAGGTTTTTGCATGTCTTAGTAAGTCTGAAACCGAACTATCAACGGTAATTTTGAATAAACTGATATCTATGTCCCACAGAACACTGTCGTTTCCATGTTACAGTGTTTATAATCGGTCGCCGAAACATTAGCAAATAATTTATCAAGCATTCTCTTTTATCATATTCCAAGGTGCCTTGAAATTCTTGAAAATGTTAAATTTACGTAATCATTTAATATACTGACAGTAAAGGT